ATAATGTTCCGCAGATTTTAGTGTACGGCCTTTACACCCTCTCAGTATGAACGTTCGACCCAAAAGCCGGGATTAAACGCGCGCCATAGCAATTTTTCAACGATTTCACGGGCTCAACTTCGAGATTTACGATACGCAAAATGCTCGAAGATCTTTTCCCCTCGGAAAAATTTATCCGGGATGTTCAAAATCTCAGTTTCGAATCCTCATCGATTTTGTACTCAAATATTTGTACTTTTGAATAAAAGAGTGGTAGATTTTGAAGTGAGATTTCATACATTTAGAGTGAATTTCACTTTAAAAGAGTGAAAAATCTGTTACTCTTATTCAAGAATGCAAATATTTCCAGTTCTTTTTCAATAGTGGCAGTATTTACACTTTTTTTGGAGTGAAATTTCACTCCATAATATTTAAAGAATAAAAATATCTTTTATAGAATAGAAATGATTGTATTCACAAATTAGAAATTAATTGTTTTAAAAAGTTTGTTTTCAATATTTACGTAAAATGAACTGAATTAATTTTTAGATTTAAGTAATTAAATATGAACGAAGAAAGAAATGATATAAAGGCCACGGTTTTTAATCAGCTCCTGAATTGTTTCTAAATGCGGCTATCTGACCTTCATCGCATATTAAATGATATATTAAAGCCCGGTTTTATCAATATAAGATTAACTTTAATCTCGATTTAACTTACTATTTATCTTTTTATAATTCTTATACTGGTAAACCGGACTTAGTATCTCATATAATACGTGATGAAGGTCAGAGATACGACACGTTAAAAAATTAAAAATCTGTAAATAATTACATTAGACGTTTTCAATATCAATAAAAGTCCAAGTGCCCTGCGAATTTATAGTGTCGACAATCTACAATATTTGAGAAAGTATCTTGAAAATATAGTAAATACATAATATCTGGAAGTAATGACAATTGTCACGGAAGGAATGCGTCCCTTGTCATAAGAGATGTGCCATCATGTCACCATCATACAATTGAAAATACCCTATAATCCTTGATGAGAAACAATACACTGCAGCTGCGAAGAGAACAATTCGGATTCGAGAATCACGCGGATAGCAGCAGCATGGAAGACGCGCGATTTACTCCCTTTCCTATAGCGTTACCCTCGTGAGATTTAAGTTAAGGAGCTAGTAGGGGGAGAGTTAGGGATCAAAATCTAGTCGAATTTTTACACATCGGATGTCTTGGAGACGAAGTTGACAGTCGATCGATATCATATTTTTTTATCCGAAAAATAGAAATGAGAAAATAGAACATTCATCTACCGTGCAATATTTAAACAATTTAAATTTAACGAATACAGAGCCGATCATAATTATAAAAAAAATTTGTATAATATTGATATCAAATATATTGTGTATTGCACATTACATAAATTACAGATTAACACAAAAGTATTATTTTTTTATAATACTTCGCAAGATAAAATATAGAAGAATCCGAGGGGAGAAATTATATGGATAAATATTATGCATAGAGAATAAGATTTAATTTAAGTTCGTCAATTGTTCAAATTTGTATCTCCTAAAATTGTAATACAAATTGTACTCCATTATCAGTATTTCTCTATCGAATTTATTTTAGAAACCATTTACATTTACATTAAACGCGTTTTCCTTTAAACAATTTGGCAGGGCGAACGCCCCTGAATTACAAGCAACCCACGAAGGATCATGGGCAAAAGAAGCGCGATTCTTGTGCAAACACTGCGGTAGTACTCATTACCGATCCCTTTGTGTCGGAAAGAACATCCTTTAATCCTGCATATCTTAAGGGATGCTTATCTATAGTTAGTGCTTTATTTAAATTTCAAGTAGCGAACGCGCGGACTATGCAAAAATTGCAAAATCAACTCTTATGGAATGATTTCGATATAATCATTAATATGAAAATGAAATAAATTTATCATATTTTCTATTTATTATTTATATTTACTACTGACAAAATTTTTTTAACAAAGCACGTTTTATGTATCTCTCTATAATGAAACAGAGCTTATGAACTTAGACAACATAAAATCCAAAATTAGGATATAAGACATCTTAAAAACGATTTTGGACTTTGTGTTGTTCTGAGAATTCCTTATTTATTTTATTTATTATTGTAAATGAAGATGCTTAAACTGTGTAACAATATATGTGGAACATACAGTTTACAGAGGTATATGAAGAACATTGATTTTCTACGAGGTTAAGGACACGATAAATTGCAGACACCTACTATAGCCACGTGACTTTTATCCCTTTGATAAAAATTTCTAACTGTCTACAATCGTTTTTCCTTTATTGAAATTCTTTACTGCTAAGATTCATTTTACGTAATCAATGTTCGAATCAATGTTTAAAAAAAATATATGTTTATGTTAAAGAAAATAAAATTATTTAAAACAAATTATAACCGCCACTAATCATTGTCTCTCAATTAAAATTAATTATAATATATTTCCTTCGACCAATAAATTTTTTCGAAGGTTTTTTCTTTGTTCAGAGTAAAACAGACTCAGCGCATTTAAACAGTGGCAAATTTCTTTGAATTCTAACAAATGTAATTATTCTATATAATTTTACAGTTTTTCATTAGATTAATTTCAAAATTAAGAACCAGAAAGTTGATCTGATCAGCTTTTTGTTTTATGTTAACAGGATTAATTAATTCGCTGATGAATTTCTTTTTTATACATTAATTTAACTCCAATTTGCTCTTCGAATCGCTTTTGCATCAACAATAACTTTCTGTTAGTAACGCCAGTTAACAGGCTTACCTCTTAGCTCGGCGAACCTTCTATCTCATTAGCTGGAACGAATGCAACTCGTGACCCACATGCAATCGGCGATTTAAAAACCTCAATACAGTACACTATATAAAGACCAATGTACTCTCTTTTCTTTCTCTTCAAACATGCATCTATCGTAATCTTTCTCGGCGCCACATCCAGCTGCACCGGAAACAACACGACACACGCAAGACGCACATAGAGACGCAAATGGCCAGAAATATCGAGGACAGTCTCTAAAAATTAAAGGGATACAGAACAACAGTTCTTTTCGCAACTATCACGGTGCTGTAATAATATAACGCTCATATGAAAAATCGACGCTGATTTGATATGTGGAATACGGAATTCGCGCGTAATTAGTTGACGCGCATCGTCACCCTCCGCAGCGGCGGCCGTGGATCCAACACGCTCTCAAGTACACTCGAGTCGCATCAACCGCAACACCCGCAGATCCACCAAAGGTTCAACGAACTTAACGCGCGCTATATTATCGAACGTCAGTTTTTTTTCGCGCTATTATATCCGCTACGCCCGAGCCTCGCGTCACCATCGTTTAAATCTCACCTCGAGCGATCACCGCACCTTCACCTTCGCACCATGACCACCGAGAACCACTCTATAATCTCGGCTTGTTAGCCTTTCGTTCGTGCCGCGCGATCTCTCTCACTCGCCGAAACTCGACGAGAAAAAGTCCACGTTACGCGGGAACGGCGGCAGTCTACCGCTTGTTTTCTCCCAACTACGTCCGGGTCGAGCACCTACCTAGCCGAGTCGTCATTGGGGACTCGACGCAGGCGCGCCGCAACGAGCAACCCTCTTCCCCTTCGTCGCAGCGACTCCACGTACCGTCAAAAGGGTGGCCGAGCCGGAACGGAGGGAGAGAGGCTGGTTGAACGTACATCCGTCGGATGGACGCTACGGCTGAACCCCCGAATGACGGTGATAGAGGGACCAGGATGACCGTCGTCGGGGGAATAATCCCGCACGGTTTGGTTGATCGTGCTTCAGACTCCGGAGACGCCGATCGTTCTCGAAGTAGCTGTAGTCTATTCGTGGAGGAAATACAGAAAATTGCATTTTGTTTCTCTTTAATGGTTTATTATTATATAAATAAAATTATTGTAATTATTAATCTATTATACATAGCGCTTGTGTACCGCTCTGTATTACATTCTATTTCTTCAGCACATACATTTGATCAGCAAAATACTTTATCATATAGTGAAATTATAAGAAATATTGAAATCAATTTTGGAGTAGGATTACGATGTATAAAATTGCGATGTATCTTGAGAGCTGATATCATCGCATCATCTTAGTGATATAATATAATTTCTTTCATGATTTTGCCAATTGCCGTTGATCGGCAACAGAGTGGGCCTCTCATGCACGGAATGGTTGGCGCGAGACTGATTCAGACCTCCAGACGATCTCGTTGATACAGCAGCATTGCTAGACCGACGCATGCGTGGGCGTCAGTTCCCATGGAAACCGGGGAACACGAGACACCGCGTGTGAATGCGTATTGATTACTCTGCTCTCGCTCCGTTCCGCGATCTCCCGTATCTTCTCCGGGCCATTCCGACTCCGTTCCTCTCATTCTTTCTGTGTCCCATCCTATTCCCACTCGGGAATACCCCTGTCCTAACGAGTGGTGGCCATCCCCTCTTTTCTTTAAATTAGGCCCCTAATGTCCCGTCTCCAGCACCCACGGAATAAAATCGAGTTCTCTCTTTCATCGTATAACTTGCCGGCCCTCGCGGGGATCGTCGGTTCCGCTTAAATTAATGTCCGCGTCTCGTTCCGCTTTTTGCGGTTGATCGAATACACGTACTCGACACAATTGTCGATGTACACGCGTTTTTCCGTCATGCTCGAACGCTCGCGTATAGAGGGTCGAGGAAACGCCCCTCTTTCTGTTTCAAATTTGGAATGTTTCTCAGGATTAAAGTTTATTATTCAGTTCTCAAAATTACAAATAACGAAACAACCAATAAAAAGATAACTGATTAATAATCAATTATCGGCTATTACCTACGACTATCATCATAGCGATAATTATAAACGTTGAAAAGGTGACACAAATATAATAGTCTGTACTATTATCGTCGCTTTACAAGGACATCCCTGACATTCTGACCCGAGGATTTTTTCACTGTTGCAAATTCCGTAGTACAAGGACTAAAACAATGTTGGTATGGTGTACTCGCATAATTTTAGTCATTGGTCACACTAGCGGCTTCCACGGCGGAACAGATTGTCCTATTCACATTTCGCAATGGCGAAATTCGTTAAAGGAATGAGGGAAATTGAAAACCAACAATCCGGCGAAATATTTCGGATCTAGTTGTTCTTTATTTACTTGCTCTCAAATTTGTTTCTCGTGGACCAGATTTCTTGTCGTACAGATCGTCTCAATTTTCTCTCGCTCTCTCGCAAAGTAAATATATCAGAGATTAAAAAAAATTGAGATTACATATTAAATTTTCACCGACAGAAAGAGAAGTAGACTTTCGTGATGCGGAAAGGGCAAGAACCGTAGCGAACATAAGGGGAAAGTGAAAAAAAAACGGAAGAAGAATTATTCGAGTTTTATGACATATTTCCGCAAAAATAAAATTAATTAGGCATTAATTATAAGAGAGAAAGTTGACTGAATTGAATGGGTTTCTTAAAGGGTCAAAACGAAGCGTAAGGTGTTATAACTCAAGACGCGAGGTAGATGGAACGTAGTGGTGTAATCTCGCCTCACGAATTTGTCGAATTTCGCAAGCAAATGACGAAAACAATAATGAGAAATCTTAATTAATGTGTTGGCGTGACAATTGTTGACTCATTCACGACTTTTATTTTCGCTAGCGCTCCTCTACTGCTTGACGTTTGGTCACACTTTATGACTTCAGGGACGCAGCTATTATGATATTATTTTATGTAAAAATTACATGTTCTGCAATCGCTTATGTTATGCAGCAAGAATAAGAGTAGAAATTATCAAATCGTTAGTCAGAATAAATACCTCATTATTTCATTTAGTTTCTAATTGCTGTAATAAATATCTACATATACCTAATTATTGTAATCTATTCGTGATCGCAAACACTTTTATTATCTATTTTTATACGGTTCGCATTAAAATTCATTAAATATGAACTTTGATGATCACTTTACTATTATTATTATTATTATTTATTGCACAACTTCCGTTTATTGCAAATAACTATAGTTATCTATAAAATTTATGTTGTTTCTCTTAATTTAAATATGAAATAAATAACACATAATACGTATAATACGTATAATACGTATGTACATATATAAATAAAAAACCTGCCAAACTAATAGACGTCTATAAAGTTTTCGAGTAAAACTTTCCATTACTTAAAAAAGATATTAAAAAATGTAGAAAGAAAGAACTTAGAGATAGGAACTTCTGCTTTGCTACATTTTGTAGATTTTACCGCAGAAAAGTTTTGAATTCGTCCCTGAGGGGTGAATACGCGACAGCATCCCATGCATGACCGCTATATAAATAGGTGAAACTTGAGAAATTAGAGAGCCACTTTTGTGTCATCTCTACGTTAGAACGAATGTTCGTTGGACTTCTTGCAACATCGGAACTATTTATACTTGATACTCAATATCCGGAACGTTCTGAACTCTGGCAGCAAGTAAAATGCTCGCGACAATGACGCACGTTCTAATTCTCTCTGTCATCTTCGGTGTTTGTTGTACGTTAGCGGAGAAAAGTGAATATACGACGACGACCGAAAATTCAAAGAACCTCTCCAATTCGGAAGACAAATTCCTGGCAAATGCCATTCGCGGTAAAAACTCATCGAAGCTTGCTCTGGATAACATCGACGAGGAAGAAATAAAAAAAACGGATAAGAAACCGAGAACCATTTTACATCGCGACTCGAGTCTCGAAAGAGATAAGTCAATATATTTTCGATTTGATCGTAGTTTTTTTTTTTAAACGTTAATCTTAAACTTAAAACGTGACAATAAAGAAATTTAATGACAGCTCGGATTATTTGGAATATTTTTATTTGCAAGTTCCAGTTGCTGCAGTTCTAAATACAGTTCCAGCGGATTGGCACGACCGGATTACAATTACAACAGGATTCCTTTAGAGACCGGACGGTATTCTTCCCAATATAGCGAGCGTCAGCCCATTGATAGGTAGTGATAAAAGTTACCTTTCGTATGAAAATATTTTAGGAAACACAATATTTCCTTTCAGATACGGATGGCAAACGCAAGGTCGGTCCCCAGGTTCCATCGGAAACGGCGACAGGCCCGGTGGAGGAAGCGGAAGCGGAGTCTACGCAGGAAGTCAGTTAGGAGACAGGTAAATTTACCTAACTTCCCACGATCATAAATTTTCCGCTAATCTCCGTCGTCTTCTGTATTAACTCAAAGAAGACTTGAAGGAAAAAAGAAGAGAAAGATTTCTCTTTATTGAATTAAAAAATTGTACGCGAAAGATCACAACTATTTCAAAAAAAGGTTTTAATTCGTGAAAAAAGGAAGAAAACTACGGACATTGAACATTATACTTGCATTTTATGCATCAATTTTAATGAAAACAAGGTATGGACCGCGTCCAGCAAGTGAAACTGCTAATAGACCCATCACTTTGGGATATGGCTCTGGAAATGGTGGAGGATATGGCTCGGGAAACGGTGGAGGATACGGTTACGTCGTTAATGGTTATGGAGGCTATGGTAGACCGGCTGGACATGGAGGTTCGATCAGCACCTATGGAATTTCGGGAACATTGGCCGATGGTGACGAATTCGGCCCAAATGACGCGAGTTATCCAGATGCAAGCACGCCACAAGGAAATATTCAAGCACAAAAGGTGTATATTGGGAGGGGATGGACATTTTTCACCTAAAAATGAAAACAATCGGATAAATAAACAGAGAATTATATTTATTCATTAAGGCAATAGCGTTAAAGGCTCTAGCAGGCGTTGCATTGATTGGAGCAGCAGCGGCGTTAGCTTCAAACCCTGTTCTTCTGCCAATCAGCTTCGTGGCTGGTAGGAGGAAAAGATCAGAGACTTTCACGGAGGAAGAGCAAACCAACTTCCAAATGGATTACATTTTGTACATGTTGAAGGAAAATTTAGCTAAGGTTACGTAATAATCTCTCTTCACGCAAAAACCTTATTAAGTCTTGATGAAAAAGATTCTTGTAATGTTAAGAATTTTTTATATTTTTAATTTACATGAAGCTTTAATAAAAAATATTTTAAATTTCTCCAGATTTTATAATTTTTTTAAATTATAGAATGAAAAGCCTTAGGAAAGATATAGAATTTCTAAAGTATTCTTATCCGTATAAAAATGTGAGAAATTTTCTAAAAAGTTATAAAATTATTTTTAGAAATTTGAAAATTTATAAAATTTATATATATATATATAGAGAGAGAGAGAGAGAAATTCTGAAAAATTATACAAATAATTCTAAAAAGAATTTTTACCGAGAAAGTGCTGTTTTTTTTATGAACAGATACAAAAAGATGGTTCGAGCAGCAAACTTGTGATCTCTCCAAGATGTGTCGCCAGGTTGACTTGCGAAATTCAAAAGGATTACTTGTCCGATGTCGGAAAAGATGTCGAGATCTTGAGCACAAATCGGAGATTTCATCTTACCAATCTGTATGCAAATTTTCTCAATATCGAAGTACTTCGCGATACGAAACTGATCGATTAACTTACATTCTTGCAGAATACGAAACAACGTACTTAATACCAATACGGTGAGCATAGCCATAAAGGACTTGATCAAGCTGGCTGTTGGCGTAGCATCGAAAAATGAAAGCTGCGACGTGTTTACTTGTAATTACATAAGGAAAGCTTATAAGTAAGACTTGTTGCAATCACACCATTTTATTATCACTCATCCAACTGTTTGATAAAGGAGGATGCACGCACGCAAAAAATAAAATCTGTTTATACAATTATATAGTATCGCAATTTAAGTATCTGAAGGCGACTTTGATCAAACAACGATTAATTAATTAGCACTGTTTTATTAATACCCCCGTTCCGATCAATGTAGTTTAATTTTAATTTTGGTTCAATTAACTCTTCGAAGAATTAAAAAAAAAGATGAAGGGTAAGAGAGAGTTGAACCGAGATTAAAATTAACTTACATTGATAGAAATGGACATAATTAATACGAATAAAACTATTTAATTGATTAATAGAATTATGTTTAACGTATCGAAAAGAAAGATTGAGAACAACCAACTGTACATATATTGTATTAGAGGTTTTTTTTTAGCGATTCTGACCTATCTTAATGTAGATTAATTTTATAATCTTGGTTTAATTTATTCTTTATTCCTTTTTAATTCTTTTTTAAAACGGTATTCATTATCCATTCTTATTTTAATATCATCTTAATAACATACTAATACAGCTCTCTGATTGGTTCATGATATCTTAAGATTGTACATAAGATAGTCTTAAATATAAGAATTAATCGACTATAAATCCCGGTTTTATACTCGTTTCTATCAATGCAGATTAACTTTTATTTTTGTTATATACTTTTCATTTTTTCTATTTCTAAAATTAGGAAAAAAGAATGAAGAGAGTAAATTAAACTGAGATTAAAGGTAATCTACATTGGTAGAAATGGACATTAGAACTAGGAAAGGGTGAAAAGTAAGTTAAACCAGGATCAGAGTTAATCTACATTAGTAGAAACAGGTATTTATTTTGGTTAAATTAATCGTTGATCGAGTTAATCGGAGCTTGGTCGAAGTCACCCCTAAAGTTTTATTTGATCTTCCCTCCAAATAACACCGTTTCACGCGAGGTGGCGCTTTAATACCTCGTCTGCCGTCTGGCACGCACGTGACGTTGCACAGAAAAAACAAAGTATAACTGACGTGTCCTAATAAGAAGCAACGTGGCAACGCGACAGTGTTCGCTGTGTTTGGAGTTTCTATCCTCGTGTTGTTCTCGCTTTGCTTCTCGTACATTTCCGTTGTCGCAATGTCGACATAAAGAGAAAGGTGAAAGACTGAATTTCACATTACAAACCGTAGTTTCGGAGTTTAGTTTCCTTTTTAATTGTAACAGCTGACGGCAACGAAAGGTTATGTATCCGCGATGATCGCGTCGTCAGCAACGACTCGACGTCGACCAGCGTGAGTATCACTCGCTCGTCCACCGTTGTTTCTCCGGGAATTTGATCGTCGTCGATGCGATCTCACGTCGCGCGCGTCCATTCGTCCACGATATGCGGTGACAAGCGGAGATTCTAACCTAATCGGTGATAACCTTGAAAATCACTAAGCGGTGCGTGAACGTGGCACGAGCGTAAATATTCGTTGCTGACTCACTCATATGGATGTTAATATGAGGAGAAAACTCGACAAGGAGGATCGGTCTACGGAGGATGGCGTCGTCGATTCGAGTAGCAGTCAGGAACCCTCTGATCTGCGAGGGGACGAGAAGAATATTGCGATTTTATTCTTCTTGTATCTGCTGCAGGGTATCCCATTGGGATTATGCGGCTCCATCCCCATGCTGTTGCAGAACAGAGGAGTTTCCTATCGGCAACAGGTATGTGAAAGCTTTCTTTTACAATTATCCTGCTAATTGTAAGTAAAAAAACAATATGTTAAGGTGCTTTTTAATACGAGACACAATGTAATACAGTGAATCATTATATCCTATTATATTGTTATTTACTAATGTTAAACAAAGATGAGATGATTACACTGTAACGTCTCTTGCTAGAAAGCAAGTTGAGTGATGTTGAGATATACTTAGATAATTTCCTTGGTATTTGTTGAAAATTTTTTACTGATATCATGTTAAACATTTATCATGTAATATGTAGAGTCCTAGGATGGTATTTATAGTCTAATCTTATATATTTAAGATTGTCTTAAGTTTAATTTAAGGTCAGTATTCATAATCTATTCTTATTTCAAGACTGTAATGTCTTAAGAAGCTAATATAGCTAATTGTGGCCAGTATTCATAGTTGATTCTTAAGTTCGTCTTAAATACAATCTTGAAATGTTAATTACAGAACTGTATTAGCATCTTAAAACATTACTTAAGACGGTCTTGAAATAAGAACCAATTATGAATATCAACCTGTGATAGGTTGATGACGTCTTAAGACTATATTTAAAACAGTCTTAAATATAAGAATCAACTATGAATACTGGCCTATGATTGGTTTATGACACCTTAAAACTTAAAATGCTCTTAAATATAAAAATCGAATAGGTACCAGCGATGTTCCGTTCTTATTTCAAGTCTTAAATAATGTCTTAAGATACGCGCTCTCTAATTAGTTCACGACATCTTAGGTCTGCACTTAAGATAGTTTTAAATATAAGTTTCAATTATGCATACCAGCCATAATTGATTCTTATATTTAAGACTGTCTTAGATATACAGTTTCAGATGTCATAAACCAGTTAAGACAGTCGTATTAGCATCTTAAGACATTAAGATGTCTTAAAATAAAAATGGATTATAAATATCATCTTTAAAATGACATTGAATATAATTTTGGATACTGTGGAATCTGATCAAATAAAATGGATATATATATATTCTGTAAATTAGATTGATTTAATAATTACAGAAAATTTATATATATATGGAAAGTAATGTATCTTTTATATGTTTTTGTTGACACAGGCAGAATTTAGTTTTGTACAATGGCCGTTTTCGTTGAAACTCTTTTGGGCGCCCATAGTAGACTCCATTTTTTCCCAAAAGTTTGGAAGAAGAAAAACTTGGTTGATTCCTACTCAGTATTTAATGGGTTTATTCATGCTTCTTTTGTCAAATTACGTAGACCATTGGTTGGGAAAGGAACATGAAAAGCCCAATATTGAATTGTTGACTGCATTATTTTTCTCCTTAAATGTACTCGCCGCGACTCAGGATATTGTAGTAGATGGATGGGCACTTACAATGCTTAAAAGGTACTTTTGAAATATCTAAACCTTGTGTACATGCATCAGCAATATTTCCAAGCTTGGAGCCTGTTTAATTTTGATTTATTCATCAAGGTGCAACGTCGGCTATGCGTCTACCTGCAACAGCGTCGGCCAAACAGCGGGCTACTTTATTGGCTATGTTTTATTTATTTCTCTGGAATCTGCTGAATTTTGCAACAGTTACTTGAGGTCGATCCCTTCTGATGAAGGCATACTAACTCTGCCTGGTAAGAAGAGTCTAGCAATTGAAAAGATAAATATTTACATATATTAAATATATATTCGGGTTGTGTGTAACGAACATATTTATTTTTAGGATTTTTATATTTTTGGGGCTGGACGTTTATTATTACAACAACGTTTATTGCGTTATTCAAACATGAAGATAAAGGTAGAGTTTCAAAGGGTGAAGAGCTGAACACGGATATTAAGCATGCATACAAGCTGCTATGGGATATAGTTAAATTACCAGCCATAAAGACCACGATTATATTTCTCTTGACTGCAAAGGTTGAATATTATAATTTGCAATTATAATTTGTAGCATAAATTTCGTTATGTTTACTTGATTGCTCCATTCTGCAGATCGGATTTTCCGCATGCGATGCTGTAACCAGTTTAAAGCTTATAGAAGCCGGTTTTCCTAAAGAAAAGTTTGCTTTTATGGCCGTACCCATGATACCGTTACAAATAATTTTACCATTAATAATCTCGAAATATACCGCTGGACCCAGACCTATGGATGTTTACATGAAAGCTATGCCTTATAGGTAATCAATATATAATTTATAGATGACAATAAATCATAAAGATTTTAATGGGCTGACAGTTATAAATTTATATGATACAGGTTGGCTTTTGGCTTAATAGCGGCGTTTTTGGTGTGGGTTACACCATTCATTGTAATTAATGGATATGTTCCAGTTTATTATTTTGTGATATTGATAGGCTTATACTTTATACATCAGGTAAATGTTAAACCACGGTAGTGCCGTTGCACTTGGCTTAGCGCCGAGACACTACCGTGTCTCCTGATACATAGTATGGATTTCTTTAATCGATGTCCAACTTGGAGTTATTGATTGTATAATACTTCTTATTATACTTTAGATTTCTGCGAGTAGTATGTTTGTGGCATCGATGGCTTTCTTCGCAAAAGTGAGCGATCCGGCAGTTGGCGGAACATACATGACATTACTGAATACTTTGTGCAATCTTGGTGGAAATTGGCCTGCCACGGCTGCGCTTTGGTTTGTCGATCCCTTAACATTTAGACAATGCAGTACCGATTATGCAAATGACTGTAGCACAATTACGGAGAGAGAGGTTCGTTGCGACTATCTCTTATATAAAATTCTATTATATATAAAGAGATAAAAAGATTAACATAATTATTTATTGTACTTTCAGCTCTGTGCGAATACCAATAATGGTGTTTGTGTTATGCAACTTGATGGTTACTACATAGAGAGCATTCTCTGCTTAATCATAGGTTTCTCCTGGCTTAGATGGGGTCGTAGAAAAATTAATATATTACAAGCGAAACCGATGTCCGCTTGGAAAATTATACTTACCCGTAACAACAGGTAACATATCAGCACAGTGTTATAAATTCATTAACATTGGTACCTGTAAAATTATTAGGAAATTCTCTTCAACGTGCCGTTGCATATACAGTGTATCCACTGTAGTTCCTCTAGATCAGATCGAATTATTAGGGTAATTTATTATAATTTACCCGTAACAATTAACCATTACTGTTTATGCTGGTACCATAAAGAATGTCCACATTGAGATGTGTTTAAAGAAATTAATAACTTTGTGATTATTAAGGTAAAGTCTACTCTAGTTTATTTAACGATCGTGTTGATTCACGGATTCCCGTAGGAACTATATGGACACACTATATATTTACCCATATGTGGGGCATGTGCATACATCATTTCCTATACATTTACCAAGTGTTCCAGTTTAGAGAATGTGCGCGAAGTGAATCGATAACGATCCATTTGCCTCGAGAGGCAATATCTATTATAAAATATATATAGTACAGAGCCCACGAAGACAAAACTTAATATAATATCATATAATGTCAAATGAATAACATTCCGTGCATAATTGAAATGATCTCTAATTGTTGTCATCCTTATTTCATTGATTCGAATTATGATCAAGAATTAATTTAGTGATATTAAAATATTTAAAAAACTTACATAGAATATATAATATATATATTTAACATTAGTAAAATGTTATTTATTATATATAAGGAAACATGTGTTGTGTGACATACGTTTTTTTGTATATGGACCTACATATATATTTGTTATATAAGCATATTTATTTGTCAACGAGTCAAATGTTTTCCGAATACGACGCATCATAACAGAAGCGGAATATATTATTTTTTTATGAGACGTTATTATATGTATCATTTAGATAAAATTTGTATGCGTGCATAAACTTACAATTTGTTATCTCTCTGCGAACAGCGTATTGTTTCAAATAATAATATTTTGCACGGAATACTTACAGATATTTCATAGAAGTTTTGTAAAACAGAAGACATGTGCGACGCGTGTTCGCAGTTTCTCTATTGTAAATATATCTAAAAGTATTTTATGCATAAAGAACGCATGACGAAATACATATAACGCAGGATGTTAATAAAAATTTTTCATATAAAAAGTTGGAGCTGATGTGTATATGTTTTATTTCAACTTTTTTGTACTCTCCTGACGGCAATATAGAGAAATAAACGCAGTCACAGCCATGAAGATGAAATATCAGGTATGAATACGAATAATCAGGTATAGTCACTTTAAATATCTCTGCGTCACTCGCGTGAATATTATAACGGTTAATGTGTTGCATGAGAACAATATCGTACATTACTATAACGACATTTAATTACACGAGTGTATTACATTTGTATTAACTGTGTGAAATTTATGTTTTTGGTTATACATGATTATTTTTTGTATCAAGTTTCAGTTATTGAAGAAAGGTACGGAGAATTACGCTAAGAAATATTTCTATAAATAAAAATTGGACTTTTAATAGTTTGTTAATGTCCTTGTTCGAAATCACTTTGTACATGAATCCGCATTTTAATTGCAATAATAATCATCAGTTGCGAAATATATCGCTCATTTGCTGCCATAACGATACAACTAAAAAACAAAGTTTTCCAGAAAGTTTGAATGTTTTGATCATTAAAATTTTGTAATATTAATTTTAAAATTCAACTTTGCAATTTTGTAATAATGATTATAAAATTAATCATAGAGGAATAAAATTTTTTTAAAGTATGTTTTTTTTCTCTTTATATGTTTTTGTCCCTTTTTGTTTATTATTTTGCAAATAATTTTAAAATAACAATTTTTAAGTTATGTCGTTATTGTAACAAATGAGCATTATATCGCTCTATGTTGTTTTGAAGACTTGCATTGCTAATCTATATTTATCATTTATTTTTACATCAAAAAATATAAATAATTCTATTAAATAAATTCAACTGGATACTAAACTATACGTCATTTAAGCATGCCTGTCTTGCAGCACCTTAATGACATTTATCGTTAACACATCGATATTACGTATATTATTATATGGATACTTTCCACGCAACACCATGCCATTATACCCATCATGAACAACACGTGTGTACATAATGCACACAAATTGTAAATTAATAAAATTAATAAAGAAAACTATAGATTAATAAACAATAATACATCACGCAAATAGTATTGCAGATATAACATAATATTCTTGGTATCACTAGAAATCTTTCACGAAGCATGTGTTGCGTCCTAATTATCTCTTTCAGCTCTTTACGCTGTAAATTGACTAATAAATTAAAAGACAAGTAACACATATTTTTAATATATAAATTATCATCTAAATGATTGCTGTAAGAATGAGTCTATTACGAGATTCATAAATTCTTTATTTTTGTATTAGATCTACCCGTTTCGAAGACACAATTCTAGATTCAATTGCGCAAACGTGAATTTATATTAAATGAGAATATAAATTTATTAAAGTTATATTAAATAAGTTTTAATTTAATTGATAACAAAATAGCTTTTGGTCATTCTTGCCATGACGAAAAAAATATTTTTTATCGCAGTATTCTTAATTGATACTTATATTAAATCAAGCTACGCGAAATAAGAGAAAGTTCGATGAGTTCCCGACGATGTTTGAATTTGTACGTAATAAAACATAAAACAGATAAACTAAGACTCTCCAAGTTTATACTAGCAACAAGTACTGGCAACACATAATGTTTCATAAAATACATCGTTTAATCTTGCGATAAGAATAATAGTCATCTAAAAAGCGATAATGTTCGTTGATCAAGTTAAGAAGTAAAAATACAAGCTTAAAATATAGGAATTATAGGTATCGCTGTCGTGATTAGTCGAACAAGATAAAGCTAAGTACCAAAAATAGTTTTTTGTACCAGACAAAACTTTCTCGAGGAAATTTCAAAATGCATGAGTTAAAAAGTCCTCTAAGAGGTCATATTTACAAAATATATTCCATAAACTTTGAATTTCAAACAACATGTAAAGTGGAGCCGCCGAAGTAGGAAATGTGTAAACGAAAAATACAGAATAGATTTTATATATAAAATAATATGGCGTTTAAGTAGCCGAGTGCAATTAATTATGCATTAACTATATTAAAACTTACAAAAAAACTAACTTAAAAATTAACCGTGTTGTGTTTTGTATTCCATTAACTACATTATTTATATATAATTCTCATTGCATACAATCTTACGTACATGTTGTTGACAGCTTAAACATTATTTCAGTTTTAAATTTCAAGCTACTTCCACGGCTCCACTGGCGAGCTAGATAAGGAAAACAATTGATAAAAATGTATAACTTATTTCTAGTCAACACGTTCCTTGTCGTTCAGAATAGGTTCTTTGTCATTCTTCGGATTAACTCGTAACGTAGATCCCCATTTTGTGCCTTTTTCAGCTTCTGAGGTGGCCATTAGAACGGAATATGAGTTTGGAGTAGCGGCGGCTTCTTTACTATAATGAATGCCGTACAGAAAGTAGATTGCCATTCCTGAGAAAGAGCCAAAGAGAAATTAGAGAAATTAGAATTCATTAAAATTTATAGTCTATTCAGTTTTGCATTTAAAATTCATTTTGTTCATATGACTAATGCGTGATTATAATTAACATAATACCAAATGACATCCATACGAAAAATCGTAGCCACGTCATTGACGATAGATGCATTATCAAACCCACATTGAAGAGAATGCTTAACGCAGGTATCAAGGGTACCAGCGGTACTCGGAATTTCCCAGTGGGTGGATTTTGCCTATGAGCGCCAATTAGGAAAAGACCTGCGAGCAAGCAACAAATAAATAAAGTTGAATACAATATTCCTTTTATCATGCCAAAAACCGACAAAATTGAAACAAGCTTACTCCCGATGGGTAGTGGAAGATAAGTTGCTGCAAAGAGGTAATCGCCCATCGTGAACGGGACTGAAACTTCGAATGCTACCATCGTAAAAGCACCGAGAAAGGCGCAGGCTATTGTATAGATAATTAGACAAGCGGTTATGACATGTCGAGTATCGTAATCCTCTAGCCATTCTTCCATCCAGGCGTATCGCGGCTTAAATCTGCCGGATTCTTCGTACAGCAGCTACTCGATATAAATGATTTACATTAATAATATTGTCCAGGAAATCTAAGAATTGCCTAGCATAATGTTATAATATATTATGACGAGATTTATAGATATCTTGTTGATAGATATTTGCATTTTACAAAAACTAAATATTTTGAAATTATATTATACGCTGCAATTAAGGCGTCAATTTTAATAAAGCAATTTTATTAAAGCACTCGTGGCGCACTCACTTCGGATTTGGCAGATGCGATGCTACTGGAGTCTGCTTCCTCCGTGGGTGGCGAGGAGCAACCACTGCTCGGTGTACCGATATTAGATTGCTCGGAAGGTTGTTGCTCGGGCAGATACCTCAGCAGGACAACGCTAATTGCCACGATAGTATATGCGAGCAAAGTCCCGATCGACATAAACTCTACCAAATGCTGGAGATCGAATAGTAAAGCAATTAAGGCACTGAACAGTCCACTTATGATCAAATTGCACACCGGCACTTGCGTGCGCTCGCTGATACGACCGAGAAAGCCGAATAACAGACCGTCGTTTGCCATGGAGTACATTGTCCTTGGAAGGGAGAACAAAGATCCGAAAAGAGTCGTTGTCATTCCGCAAAGAGCACCCACGCTGCACAAAACAATTTTCAATTAATACATTTTAAGAATTTTAATTAAATCAGAAATTCAAATAAAATTGCTTACCTTATCACATATTTAGCCCATGGAATTCCTCTGGATGAAAAAGCTTCCGGGAGAGCGGCGGTAGGATTAATCTCCCAATACGGTACGATCAGAGTCAGAGCGCCGCTGACCAGCATGTATCCAACAGTTACTATCGCCATCGAGAGCATCGTCGCCAGCGGAATGCTCCGTCCTGGATCGCGAGCTTCCTCCCCAGAAGTCGCGATCGAATCAAAGCCGACGTAGGCATAGAAACACGTTGCTGCACCTGAATAATGCGTCAAGGATCTTAATTAACTCCTTTCAGTAATTAAATCCTTTCAGTTCAAATACACCTGTGTAGAATAATATAAACCATTTTCCTTGTATATAATTTCTATTACATTCGTAATTATCGGACAATTACTGGATAATTAAGTATTTAATAACGAGATAATGCAAATCCACCTATATTTTGCATCGTGTTTGTTTAAGCAATCTACTTCAGAGAGATAACTCACCTGTGATTATACCGCCGAAACCATATGGCAAAAGACCACCGTTCTGACTACTCCAGTTCGTAATGTCCGCGTAATAAATACCCAAAACGATGACCAGTGCCATCACCGCGAGGTTGACGATGGTCAGTAACGAGTTCACCGTCGCTGAGGTCTTCACGCCTAATCCCAAAAGCATCGCGTAAGCCAAACATAATCCGCTAGCTAGGATATCCGGGATGGTGCCCAGCGGCTCTCCCATGGTCCAGCCACCCATCACGTCGCGAGTATAATTGCTAATCGCACCTCCTATCAACGAATCCACATATCCGCTCCAAGCCCTCGCCACAGATGCCGCGCCTAATTAATACGATAAAAAAAACTTTCATTAATTATCAGTCTGATTTAATTTTTTCTCTTGTTACTAATTACATCAATTTGATATTTTACCCTGAGATAAAAAGAATCCTCATATCTTACATATTTAGAATTTTTTGTATTTAAAATTTATGAAGATTTCTGAAAAAATACCTTAAACTTCTTCAGATCTTATAAACTTTTCTCGGAAATTACAGACTAAGAAATTTTAGAAATTTCAAAATTCACATTTAAGAAATTTTCTAAAAAGTTATAAAACTATACAGAAATTGCAGAAAGATTCTGAAATGTATATAAAAATTTTGAAAAATTATATAAAAAATTCGAATAATTAAATTTTCCAAGGTGGTTTATCTAATTCATTTTTTTCGTTCCTGTTGACCCTTTAAGTTTTGTACAAGAAACAGGCTCGTACCGATCATATGCTCCAAGATGAGGTTCCATCCTACGATAAAGGCCCAAAATTCGCCGATGGAGACATAAGTATAGACGTACGCGCTACCCGCCTTTGGCACTCGGGCAGCTAACTCGGCGTAACAAAGCGCAGCCAAAACGGAAGCAAAGCCAGCCACAAGAAAGCTAAAGATCACTCCGGGACCAGCGGTGTCGTGCGCAACCGTTCCCGTCAGTACATAAATTCCAGCGCCAACCATATGACCCACACCTGGGAATAGTAGAAATTCAATTTGTTATGCATATATATATAATATATATATGTAATACTCAACAAAATGTTGACTGCAATTTGCCTACAAATTGCTGGTAAATTCGATATTCAGCAAATTAATTATCATCAGTTGTGTTCGTATTAAGCTTGTGTTTTGTTAACAAAGCTCTTGCTGGCAGAATATGAAAGCAAATTGTCGACAAAAACTGAGCAAAGCTTTGGTCAGGTTCGATTTTGGTCGGTTAATTCTTGCCGTTAATTTGTTGTCAGATTGTCAGCAAGCTTTTAATTTGCATAGTTTTGGTATAAATTTGTTCTCATATGCGGTAGATTTTGTTGTTTGTATATATATATATTTTATATATATATACCAATTGCTGTCACATTGAATATAATAGAATCTGCATAATATTTGGTGCCTTCTCGTCGATAAAATTTGTAGCAATTCGACAAAATTTGTTTTCTACAGACTTCATTAAGTATAAGTACAATACTGTTATAATTAATATTATTAACTGTCGAGTGAGTTAATCTTAACCCAAGCGTAATTCTTCTATAAAGCACAGCGGCTTCATGATTACTTTTATTAATAGTTCATATAATACCGTTATTTAACGCGATATATCACTCAAGGCTATTATTCCGGACTATTACGCTTATCATCACCGCGATAATGCGCGCGTGTGTAATGGCAAGCTGCATGTCGCACATGTCATATAAAGAATAACAATAATAATAATATAAATATCTTTACATAAAAGTAATAATATAAAAAGGCAAATAATAATAAAATGTAAAAGTAATTTAAATACAATGAAGTAAGGGGCATCCAAAAATATTTTCTTTTATAATTAGTCACAAAGTTGATTTCAAGTTGTAGTTACAAAAGTATATTCACCGAGCAACGTGATGTCAAAGGTGGAAAGACACCTCTTCATCGGGGTTTCGAGCAAATCGCCCTCCAGCTTCTTCCGACGGCACATCTTGTTGTACAAGCCGGACATAACATGGCCCAGGATCATCCTGCGAACCGACGGCATGATGACGGATCCTGAAACAGGATTCCAATTCCCGGCTTACCGACATTCTGCTTAGTCGAAGAGAAAAAAAAATTATCCAGTTACGTGTGTTTTTTAAATAAAAAATATTATCGAATGTACATCATTTGTCGAGAGAATCTCAGATTGGATAAAACGTGCACTGCGCAGAAATTTCCATTGAGTAAAAATAAAGAAAAATCGATAATTAAAACTCTATGGTGTTCCGATACAATATGTCACGACGGTGACAAATAGCAACGTCGAACATGACCCACACACGCATTTCGTGGCGATGCGATCGATAAAAAAAGGCGATCCTGGAGTATCCCAAGGGCACGTCGAGATGCAACGGAATGTATTCATGGCGTGGCAGAGCGTACTTACGTTGTAATTACACGGACATTCAACGACGAGACCGTCGACTCTGTCGACTACGTGCTACGGATCGTGCAAGCACAGTAGATGCCGAGGGGGTCGTATGGTTCGCGATATAAAGGATAAGGGATGTTGTATTCTTGCGAATGCGCAGTAGATAGCCAATCAAGAACCGGTCCTAGATGTTAAAAAGCAATATTGCTGCTGGCATTAATATGGCTAAGAGAGAACAGGATTAAATGAGAAATTAAAGATATATTCTAATTAAATAATATATTGCTTCTAAATTAAATTTCTATGATTTTTATTAATGACTTAAAAATTCATTCTGGATACATGTATAATATTTGCCTCATAATTTCTTTTTAAACATATTTTTCCGTATTTCTACGTTAAGTCTTAATTGATTTAAATCTGCGAGAAATTACATTTTGTAAATCGACAGAATATCGATAAAATGTATAATCAGCAAAGAGATAGTATTAATTGGAATTTTAAAAATAGTTGATATCTTTTTTAAGGTCTGGAAGTTTAAACCTTGAAAAATTGAACTTACGAAAATCGCGATGGTTCCAGCAAAATATCATTGACAAAAAGAGGATACTAATTAAGATATTAAGAATATAGCAATTTACAAAATTTCTAGAATTTTAAATCGGTGAAATTAAATTGTAAAAACTTCAAAAACCAAAAACTTAAATAAACATCAAAGAATATAATTGGATAAAAATATAAATATGTCGAACATTAGAATTTCAAAAATTGTATTTATTAGACAAATTCTTTTTCATTATTTGTATGAATACGAATAAAAGTAAGACTATTATAGAATCAAATCAGCCACTTTGAATTGCAAGAATTTGAAACTTCAAAAATCAATGAATTTTGAATTCCTATAATTATATCCAGAGAATATATAATTAGAAAATATTAATTAAATACGAAATAATCGCAATTAAAATTCTAAGCATTGTAGCTTTAAAATAGCTTTATTTATATTATATTTTACATCATTTCATCCATGATGGTATATTATAAACATTTGTATCGTAATATCAGAAATAGTAGAAAAGTTTAATATATATTTTTTAAATTGATCATTTTTAATGCTTTATATTATATTATTAGTGTCGTTTTATATATTATATATTAAATATAATTTATCAATATATATATTTCCATCTTCCTTTATTTAAATTTACGCTCACAATTATAGCTTTAATAATATATCTATTATTTGTCTTTTTAATAAAACATAATTTTAATAATATTTTACAATACAATAATAAAATGTTTAATATTGATAATAAAGTAAAGATATAATTATATAAGATATTGATAATAACATTAATAATAGGATGTTTAATATTTGGTAACAAAATTATAATCATGCAATACATAATATTACAATACATAATACGAATATGACATATTACATAATATATGACAATATATGACATAATACATAATGTCTAATAATCAATATGCTGTAATAATCTTAAAATGCTAATACAGCCCTCTGTTGGTTCACAACATCTTAAGACGATTCTGTATATAAGATCCGACTTTGAGATACAATATGCATCATACGCACGCTCGGAATAGGTATGTATTGCGCGCTCACAGATTTACTCCGATATCGAAATGCATTTAAAAAAACAAAACTATGACAATAATTATGAAAGAAAAACAAAATAAACCTATTATAATTAATCGTGCAATATATAATGCACGAATGTTTAGCAATATTTAGATACAATATGCATTACATAGGCACGCGCCCACAGATTTACTCCGATATCGACGCTTAGCTTAACGTTGCATCCTTTAATTTATTTATTATTCTATTCTTCCATCATGATCCTATCTATCACATTCCGCGATCGTAAATTTGTGTAAACAAACGTAACAGGAATTGAACAGCTCAACTGAATAATTATCATTTCTTTAAATTAAACCGTAGTGTTACGATCCCAGGATTGGTTATCCACAATCCCCAGTAGTCAGAAAGACCATGGTTGTATATCATGAGAAAGACGACCAATTTCTTCATCCCTTCTCCTCCGTATGATAAAAGAACATTCAGAAGGTTCAATAGATAAGAGCGATGATATTGACCGATATCAGTGACTCGCATGCGAGGACATGTCTCGATTGGTTTTAATTAAATGCTAAATGTGAAAATCTAAAGCCCCTTTCATTCGCGCCATTCGGCCTTCGGAGTACGGAGTACGTTCCAATATGTTGGTTTCTCGACGATTCTGCGGATAAGGTTAGAACACGAACCTCAGGTTGACGCGTTGCGACGTAATAACGCTCGTTGGAGAAAGTGGTGGAATTATTTCTTCGCTTTTTCTACGAGATGGGGACGAGAATTTACGCTGGAAACTGATTCACAGCTTGCTTTCGTTATTAAAAAGCGAATCTCATCTAGCCGTGCACGAATCTCAAGCGTGTTGATGTCAACGTAACATTTGTGGACGATGGACGGAGAGGATTCCGTAGATGTAGACGTAGATATAGACGAGGTCGTAGACGTGGACCCGCAGGAGCTGCAAGAGACTCTCCAGACGTACAGGAAGCTCGCGGACGATTTTGCGAACCACGATACGATTCTGAAGGTGAATACTCCAATTCATGAAAATGGAGCAAGATAGATCCTAGACAGCCAATTCTATTGAAAATCTGACAAAGAGAGAGAGTGTCTTATAAATTGCTCCAGCAGAATGCCAGTGAAAATATAACATAATTAATTAACAAAATACACTACTGCTCAAAAGTATTTGTCAATCTAAATTTTTATATCTTTTATACGTCTAAATTCAATTTTAATTCGTTTACTGCGTTCTCTTTATACATATAGAAAATTTGAACCATTAAACATTGTTAAGTATAATGTAATATCTAGAAAATTAGGAGGAAAGATTAAAACTTTCTCTTCTCCATTTAATTAAGGAAGGTAGAGCGGATGAATACTTTTGAGTAGAAGTGTATGATAACAAATTAATAACAGGAACTGATATAATCTACTATAAAATTATATATCGACACAATCAGGCTTTGCTGGTCGAACAAATGTCAATCTGTTATAATGTCCTGCTTTAAATCTGCTGGCAAACTGCTAACATTACTATTAAGATTTTGTTTATTGAATATAAGATTGCTTGATTTATTTCAGGATAAGACAGTCTTATCGTATGTAGCATACGTTTTAGAAGTACCTGATTTAGATGTGGTTAATTTAGCTCTGGACATTCTGGAGATATTTGTTAAGAATGTAGACAATTATATACATATTACGTCTACTTTTGGTGTGCGGGAATCCTTGGAAACAATTATTAACAAGTACAACTTGAACGAACCAAAGATAGCCGGTCGAGCGCAGCATATCAAAGATGACATAGAGCGTATGAAACCACCTATATATAATTTACGCAGTCGTTGCAGGCGAGTTATAGAGCCCAAAAAGTTGAAGACACATGTAATAGTTTTACATGTTCAGGGTTTATTACCAGTAAGTATTAATATAGGATCTATTTTAGTTTATTATTACATGTAAAAAAATAATTATAAAAATAACTGTACATTGGAGAATATAATAAAATAATCGAAATAATTAGGAGACTCGAGCCGAGTTGGAAGGGATATTAATACGAATTGAAGGTCTCATTTCGCTTGTTGTTGATGTAGAACATCAACGTGTAACTATGCGCACTTTGAATTCTGTCACCGCTAAACAAATTGCGGAAGCGATCGACAAACATACGGACAATATGGAAGCAAGATTGATTATGAAAAACAAATTTAATCAAGAGTTTCTCGTAACGTTGGTAAGGATTATTATTACAACTATTACTGACTATTATATGACAGACGGGGTGCGTTTTATATTTTAATGTAATTTTTTTGTTTCTAAAAAGTTGAACACGATGTTTCATATTGAATATGATGAATCTTTTTCAGATACAAGTAGGCGATACCGACAGCGAAGGATTGCCTGATTACTTGCCCGAGGAGGAAGAAGAAGATGATAAGGAGGGAGTTGTGTCATTATTTACTGGTTTAAAGCAAAGCGCTTCATCTTTATATAAATCTACCACAGAGTTTCTAAGTAGTTCATTCTATTGGTAGAATTTCCAACTGTAAAAGAGATTGATGTAATTACAATTTTATTTATTTGAAATTAATTATTTATCTGTCTGTTCAAAGAAGGGGTGAAAACAATTTATGTGAATAGGATACATTACCTCAATAGATGTATAACAAAGAAAAAGACTTATGAAATATTTTTTAGCTATGATCAGTTAATTGTAATTATTTAAGAATTTTACACTCTCCTATTAAGATATTCATAATTAACAATGACTAAAGGGAAGTTATTAATCGTAAAAATCAAAATTAATTTATTTTTATTGATTTATAATAAATAATACTTTGTATTCTCTTCATCTATCTTGAAAATTAACATGTACAGAGAGAGAAGATTTTTAAGTCTATATTTATAAAAAGAAGAGACATATTTTATTTATACACAAAATAATTTTCTTATTTTTCATAATTTGACAATTGTGCATGTTCTACTTAATGATTTAGCACATGTGAACTAATTATGTGTACACACGCGGATTACAATCTCAGAGACTTCTAATCGAATTCTAATATGATAATATGTAAATAAGTAAATTCCAATGTGTGCTACATACGCACTAAAGATCTAACATTTAACTAAATTATTAAATTTTATTCATATAAATGAGATTTCATTATAAAAGCTTCTAATGTGTAAAATGATGGATTAGATATAGATATTAAATATATGTGATATTATATTCAAGCCATAATGCAGCTCAGCAGCTTTTGCAATCAAATAATAAAACAAAAGAATTCGAAAACTTAATTGTTTCGATTATTGTTTATAAGTTTATTTAGATGACGTATTTATGAATTTTTCTTTGTAAAATAAACAAGTGATTCTTTAAGTAATCATCGGAATAGCGTATATATATATATATGTATATGTCAATATCATGATTTACTTTAACTTAAATTAAATAAAGCAATCGTATAGAATCATGAAAAACTATTCAGAAAACGGTATATTTAAGATATTCTTCTTTTTGAATATCGTTATGTTTCAGCTGTTCACATAATCTTTATATGCGACGCAATACATGTGTTGGATTTGTACAAAGAATGAAATATAAAATGTTGTATAAATCAACTTTATTTTATAACACAAATTTTGTGTACTGCTTCTATTATTATATAATAATAGAACTAGTCAGTTTTTTAGCTGCCACTGCACAAAAAGGAACAATTTATGCAACTACTCGCATAAGTATGATGGATACAATACGTATGATTACTACAAAGTACATCTCTCTCTATTTATAATATATGCCTCGTAAATTATTTCGTTCAGATGAGCACATCAAAATCGTTATTCTACTTTATCTTTTACGCTTATTCGCTAAGTTCCCGTTGTATTGTCTATATTTACAGATACAGATGTATATAATTGTCATTAAGGCAATTTGAGTTTCAAAGCAGGTACAATAGATGGATGCAAAACATCATTTCTTTCCTGTAATCGAGTAAACGAAATAGTTCGTAGACATGCGTATGGAACAGAGAGATAAAACTTACAATAATTATTAGTACCAGTAGTTCGCGGAATGAGTATGAGGTTCGCGTGCAGTCCAGTGCTATTGTTGAGCTTCGTTTTGAAACTCGCGTAACCTGCACCACTATTTGACTATTTCGCGCAATACAACTCACTTCTTAAACTATACATTAAATGCTTAGGCTGAAATCAATAAGTACATAGTCATTATAGACTTACGCTCTCTGACTCTTGTTGGCTGTAAAGTAAAAAAAGAATTAAGTTTTTTACGTATGAGCATATGTTTTGGAAAATACATACGATAGTACAATATGTACCCTCCTATTGTAAATATAGTAACTTCCGAGGAAGGAAGTTTCGCATTTTTGTATTTTTCCTTACTTTTCGATTTTTGCCTAATATCTTCGTATCCATAATATATTGCAAATATAAAAGATCATACAGGTACAACATCTTTCAATACATGCTTCAAAGACTAAATTGCGTATTATTATCAATTCTCTAACTTTCACTAGACACTTCGACACGGTCGATGCATGCAAATTGCCATAGGCACTTATGTCATAATAAAATTTGTTATCATTACGTTGTACATTTTATTCTGTTTCGAGAGGTTCACTAAATTCCTTTTCTTTAAGAGAATGCATTTAAACTGTGCATGTACATAATATCATCAATTAGATGCTTTCATAACTATGAAGGCATCTTACTATTTACAGCTGCCTTTCCATTTCGTCAAACATAAACACATACATAAGCAGGGAAATATATGAATATTTAAAGAGTTGTTGACTGCCTGGATTTTTCAAAACTTATTTCTATGGCAATGGATATGCAGTTTGAATTTGAAATTAAATTGTGACTTAAAGTACATATGCGTATTCAGAAAGAGTTATGAACGCGAAATATTAGATATCATGGAAGAATTAAATACATGATTTTTTTTTATCTACAGAGTATACCGGGCACATTACAGCTTATAATTTACATAATGACAATTATTATAATAAATTTCATGAGTGTTAAGCATAAAAAGCCTGATGTAGCGATTTCGAATCATATTAATGTAATCATTGCATAGGAAATATCCTTCGAAGCAGTATCTAGATTTGTTGAACGAGAATTACACTACATCTACACTCATGTTGTATATGCTAAAAATTGTTGCGTATAACTCAAATAAACTTGAGCAATATTAATCTGATGTTTTAGCAATTTATGTATGCAACTGATCAAACATTGATTAAGAATGTTTTCGAAAACTATTTGAATTTAATAATTAATCAAGGATATAGTCTCGAATTCTCGAATTATTTGCTTGTTGAATCACTTGTTTTCTAAATAATATTATATACTTTTTAATATATGTATGTATACATGTTTTATATGAAGATGAATATGTAATGCAAGTATATATATATATATGTGTATGTCAGTATATGTGTATGTGTGTACATATATGAAGATATCTACAATATGCAACATAAGTTACAGAATGAAAAATGATGTGATTACTGAATTTCACTCAGGCAGTAACTCTAATTTATAAACCGATCATAAATCAGATATAAAAATTATACTAATAACTAATCTATATTCGGCTTTCCATCTTCATAGATCCATTCGCCGGTTGAGATGCAATTGTAACTTCACTGACTTCATCCGTTTCCGATTGACTCGATGTGTCAGAAACGTCGTCTATTTCCTTTCTCTAAATTTAAATTAAATGTATATGCTTTTTTATTTTAGTTTTTTATAAAATATATTATTTGTAAAATTTGATTATCATCCGCGAAAAACTAAAATAAAAAATTGTGAAAAATTTACTTTAAAACTGCTTGACATATTCACTTATATATTTTTAAATATTATAATATATCAATCTGCAAATGTTCAATTCTCTTACTACCATATACATTAATATTTGTATGCAAATATGCTTAATTTTCTGTAAAATTGATATATTGTTTTTCGCATGTGGTAATTTGTTCGTGACAATCCATAATAATGTAATAAATTTCTTTATATTTTCTCTTATTATTAATTAAATATTATTCACTTTACTTACTTATTTTACTTACTTTTTGGGAATGATGTATATTACGAAGAACTCTTTGAACATCCGGATTACTTTCTAAGGTGGAAGTCTGACTGGACGGAGGATGCGAATATTCAGAAGTATTTTCCTCATCAGAAGCTAATGCCCCCTGTATTCTCCCGGATGTTATTAGTTTTGACCTTCGTAACCTGCATCCGGGACCGATTGGTCTCCTTGCGATACTATATAATATATTCAAGGGAATATATTTTCAAGATGATTCCTTATTATTAAACGTAAAAATTTAAATAGCTGTTAAATAAACAAAATCGAAAATTTTTTACAAAAATTTATACCATAAAATTTTGCAGAAAAGATCTAATTTATTTTCTAAAAAGTTGACAAGATATTATTTGATATACATATAAGTTCTTATTTAAATTAATTTTTTCAAATGTAAAATGTTCAAAAATTGTTAGCTTTTAAAAAGTACGAATTATTATATTGAATCTTAATATAGTTATAAAATATAAAATACTTATGGAAAAATATTATATTCATTATTGATTAGAATACCTTCTTCGTCTTAAGGAATAATTATAAGTATAGCTTGGATCCTCTCCCTCTTCATCTGACCAACTTTCTTCACAAGCATCGTCTTCGCGATCATCCGTATTATCCGAAGAGGCTCGTATTTTAATATCGGGTTGTTCTACATAGTGTCCGGATAATTTGCCTGAATCTTCTTTATTCCTACTGTAAAGTTCAATTGATTTAATGCATTTTATGCAATATTGAAACAATCTCGTTTCAAAAATTATTTCTGCTTAATGAAAGATAGAATAATAAAATAACTAATTAAAAACATATTTTAAATAATTATAAATAAATATATCAAATAAAGAGTACATTTTTAACGTATTTGTTTTAGACTTAAGTATACGTTATTCCTTGAATGTTATATTATCGCTAGTTGATATAAATACCATCGATTTATTATAGTATTTAAGGATTAACAAATTTTATGACAGAAATACGACATGTGTTCACGGATATTATTATGCAATACCTATGGGAGATTATGACATCATCGCCATTTCCATTGTCAATGATAAGACGATTCGCATTAATAATTTCGCTGACTTTTCTGCCGAGAGTCTCAAGATTGTCGTCGTCGCTACAATCCTTCAAACGTTCGTTTCCATTGGCGTTATTTTCATTTAAGTGCTCAGGACTGGAGCATGAACTAGTTTGCATCGGATAATGCGTTTCCGGCAAAATTGGATTCCCGTTTAAGCATTCCGTCACTTGCTTGTTCAATGAATGTCTTCTGACAAGATCCAAAGAGGATTTTTCTGGTAAAGAAAGCGCTACATTCACTATCGGGATGTGATCCGTTTCATTGATGTCCAGGATGTCCGTTTGTGTGTGGCTGTCAACGAATCTGGCAGGTACCTCTACACTCTATAATTATAAATCATATCTATTACTAATCGTATATAACATACATTAAAAATTTGAAAAATTAAAAATATATTTTAAGATATGTTATGTAAACTAATTCATCACGAAATTAGATCTCAATTTTCTAACAACAGATGAAATA